AAGAGAAAATCTTGGAGCAGCGTTAAAACACGACCGCGGCTGCTTTTATTCACGCCACCTCTTCCCCAACCCCCCTCACCTCAGCGCGATATTAACCGGGGGTGTCATCCACGTAATTGCCGCCGCCTTCCTTCCCCCTCCCCGGACCCGAATCTGCGGTAGCGACACTGGCAGTTTCTTCCTCTCTTTACCTTTCCTCAGCGGAAGAGAGAGACGACTCCTGACAAGACGGGCTGTCCTTTCCAGGCTGCTCAGCCACCCGCTGCCAGTGAGCGGCGCCCCGAGTTCCAACCCCGTTCCAACAGCTACGGTAACAGTCGGGTTTGGACGACACCCCTTCCCCTCAGTTCAGTCGCTCCCCTTTCCCTCGCCTCTCTTCCCCCCCCCCCTCCCTCAAGCCCGTCAGTATGTCGGTTTGTCACTCGCCTCCCGGATTGGTGGAAACGCCATTCACGTGACGGGAGTCGGGCGAGAGGAACGGGTAGACACGCGGTGCGGTCGTGAGCATTAGCGAGGCGAAGGGAGGTGAGGAGAGTTCGGAGCAAAGGCCGACGTCACAATTGCCCATTCTTAGCGTTTCTAGGGGTTCCGCGGCAGTAATTTAACTCGTTTCTTAACATAGCCACCAACCAGAAGGAGAAAAAAAAAAAAGAATAACGGGCACGGTTACGATTAGAGGGCGGAGAAAGTGAGTGTCAGTGCGCAAGCGTCGAGATCGTTTTCTCTTCTTGGGTGGTGCGGCTAGAACTTTCTCGAAATACCGGCGGCGGGGGCTGGGGTGGTTCTGTAAAGAGGCGTAGAGGGGAGAGAAGAACCTACGGACTTGGCTTGGAACAGGTACCGAAGCACGTTTCGGAGTCGGTCATTCAGGTTACTCCCTTCCCGAGGGAAGGGCTTTGGGAAGGACGGTGGCGCAGTGAATTTTTAACAAACACTGAGCACGCATGCGTGGCTGGTTTGAGGAGATCTGCTGCATCCTAATAAAACAGCCGTCCGGGAGCAGGTGTTGAACCGCATTCGGGTTCTTTTTTTTTTTCCCTTTGTACTTGTTGCAGACCTCTCCCTCCCCTCCGTTCCCCCCCCCCCTCTTCGGAGGATGGGTGCGTGAAATCCACGAATGGTGCTCAGGGCACTATTCACATGTCAGTGTAGGCCGACTTCCATATAATCCGTTTACTTGTCTTGAATAATAAGTGTCGCGAACAACCGGGTTTCTGTTGGAAGCTTTTGAGTAGACGCCGACGTTACAAAAGTCCGAAAGGCTGCTCGGAACAGTATTGCGCGGTTGTACCAGTCTCTGCTTGAATATAGAAAAATGGGCTTTAGAATTAAGATTTAAATCAAAATAGTGAATGTTGGTAAGTTATTAAGTACCAAATTATTAAGCTTAGTCTTAGTTAAAAATGATCGGTGATCGTCCTAGGTTACAACCGTAAACCAAGATTTTCGAAGTTAAGAGCCTTTTGCCTATTTAGGATGATTCTATAGTAAAAAAAAAAAAAAACCTTTTTGGACCATAAAGTTTTATATTTAGAATCTGAAAAGGTAGTGTGTTATACAGCACTATTTGTATACAAATAGATCTAAAGGCAATAGATCTATAAGATTGTTCCGTTTCACATTCAGGAACATACATAGCAGGTAGGTTAGGATTCCTCTGCTTCTTTGAATTTCATAGCAAATTTTTAGCTATAACAGAGCAGATATTATTTATGGGATTAACTGTATTGCTACCAGATAGCGGTCATTCAGATCTTTTGGCCTGACAGATAATAAATGTGTGTAAGTTTTAATCCTGGTGATACCTGGACAAGCCCCTGTAGTTTCCTTGGCTTGCCACTGCTATCTTTCTAGAGCTAAAAGCAACTGGCTCGAAGTCACCCAGCTGGCTTTGTGTTTAAAGCAGAACAGGATATTGGAACTCTCCCAATTTGTAGTTTGATGCCTTAATACCAAATTGCCTCTCTTTATGTACCTTAGATATTTAAATAAAAACCATGTTTGCCCATGTGACAGTGAGAAAACCAAATCTCCAATAACAAAAATCAAATGGTTATCTTGGTCTGAATAATTTTTCTTAAAAGATAAAATTGGATTTTATGGAGTTTTTCTAAAGGGATCTTAGTCAGGAGAATGCATTGCCATAATTTCAAGGAAAAAGCTGCCTAAATATCAACATGATTCATTCAGTGTTATGTAAGCTGCTTATTTTTTTTGCAATAGGACTTTCACATTCAAACCATGAGTTCCCTTAATTTTCCTCCAGAGGATTCCTCAATTTTCCAAGAGATTTTATGAGAAAAGGGGGAGGGTCTGTCCCTTCAACATATTATGCTGAATAGTTTGATCCCATCAGTTTACAGATATCTTTTAAATAAGTGAGTTTATTATATCCTTATGTAATCCCTTTTTTCAAAACCTCCACAATATGTGGGTTTCTTTTTTTTTTCTCATCCACCCCACATACAGAGGATTCTCTAAGTTTTGTTGTGTAGATAATGCATATAGTTTGCCATAAAAAGGGCGTTGGTACTTACCTGACATACCCGTTCTCTTTGAGCTGTGAAGAGCATCCAGTAGTGGGAGGTGCTTCAGTCTCTGCATTTGTAGGCTGGGCTTAATTTGTGGAACGCTCCTCCTCCTCCACGGGACTCCTCCTCAGCGTTCCCCAGTTTTGGCGAAGACAAGAGAAATAAACGCCCTCGTTCTCATTGCCCTAACAATTCGTTGGCCGAAACAGGACCCCACCAGATGGGAAAAAAGGGTGGGGCTGGATGCTCTTCACAGCTCAAAGAGAACGGGCGTGTCAGGTAAGTACCAACGCCCTTTCTCCCATGAGCTGTTCAGAGCATCCAGTAGTGGGACATACCAAAGCTTGGCCTGTCCTACGGGAGGGACTCCGTCTGGTCTGGAATCTGCTCCTGGTCCCTGTGGACCCATTGCAGAACTCCTCTGCCAAAGGAAGCCTCAGCAGATGCAAATACATCAATTTTATAATGTCTAATGCAGTGGTCCCCAACCTTTTTTGTACCAGGGACCAGTTTCACAATTATTCATTCTTTGCGGCCCGGTACAAAATGATCCACGGACGGTACCGGCATCAGCACACACGACCAAGGCAAGGCGAGCCGAGCGACCGGCCAGCCAACCATCCCCTGCTTCTCCCCGCCACCTTCAACTCCTCCTTTGTACCTTCTCGCGGTCGATGGGCTTTTCGGGCTCTTTCTTAATCTCCTGAGTAACGCGAGACTCCACCGCCATCGGGACGGCTCTTCATTCGAAGCCGCCCCCCCTTTGACGAAACTAAGGCGCAAGGATTCCTTCAGCACACAAATGCCGCTTTCCAACCGACGACCGACAAGCTCACCCGGAAGCACTTTCTCAAGCGCCGTCGAAACAAGATGGCGCCCAAGCAAAGTAGGCCCTACTTTCATTCTTTGCGGCCTGGTACAAAATGAACCACGGACCGGTACCGGTCCGGAGCCCGGTGGTTGGGGACCCCTGGTCTAATGAATGGTGATGGGGAAGCCCAAGTTGCGGCTCGACAGATTTCAGTTATTGGTGCCTGTGTGGCCCATGCTGCCGACGATTGCAGTGCTGCTTGTTGTATGAGCTGTTAAGGCCGTAGGCACCTGCAGGAATTGAGTCTGATACGTTTTCACTATTGCAGCCCGTAGCCAACGGCCTATCGTAGAAAGGTGAGACCTTGCATTGCATCCCTGAGTGTTGGGCTGAAAGAATTTTTTCTGTTTCGGTCAAGAAAGAATCACAAGCACTGCCTATCTCTCACGAGGCTGAGCAAAAACTGGGGAATGCTGAGGAGTCCCGTGGAGGAGGAGGAGCGTTCCACAAATTAAACCCAGCCTACAAATGCAGAGACTGAAGCACCTCCCACTACTGGATGCTCTTCACAGCTCATGGGAGAACACATTTGGCCATAACAAACATAATAATGTAATTATGTCAACGTGCAACAAAATTGAATATTAATATCTCTTCTGAACATTATATTCTCCCATTACTTTCTTTCTGCTCTTCAGTCCCATGCATAACTGAAAGCAGTACCATAAATGGTTTTTGTTATTCATCAGAGGAACAGCGCCCATAAGTTGGAATCTTTGATAAAGAATGCATAATTCCTTATTTATATTCCAATTTTATTTAAAAATTTGCATAATAGTTTTATATCTATTCTGTGATCAATGAGCACAACTTGCATTCAGTTTTGTATCGATTAGACTTTAGATGGAAGACAATCTATAAAGTATCAAATTCATAGGAACCAATGAAATAATGCCAGAATATCAATCAAAATTTATATAATGGGAACATGACAGTAATTATTCAGAAGGATAGCGATTGCTTAATCAGAATTCTAGATGTGCTACTGATACTGACTTAAAGCTACTTTAGGTTTGTCCTAAAGACTTAATTATATTTTCTTAAAGCTAGTTTTGAAATACATAAGACATAAGAATTTATTTGTCATTACACTCGCTAGCGGGTGCAACGAAATGAGGTGCTCTTCCACAAAGTAAAACTGGACAAACACCACTAAAAGAAAAAAAAAATTGAACTAAACACAACCAACCATACAATAATCTCTATGCAATTTAAAAATGTAGATACCCCATTTCTCTCAGCCATTTAAATTCCACAAAAATGTTATGACCCTGCATTCAAACTCAAAACTGCACTTGGATAAAAACTGTTCTTAAATCTGGTCGTCCTTGTTCTTAATACCCTAAATCTCCTTCTCGATGGTAATAGTTCAAAGAGCTGATGTCCCGGATGAGAGGAGTCATTCAATATATTAAGTATCTTCCTCTTACATCTATTCCTATACAGTTCTTCCAAAGAGGGGAGTGAGCAGCCAATGATGTTTTGGGCCGTCTTGATCACCCTCTGAATTGCCTTACAACCGCTAAATAAAAGTAGAAAATAAAAAGTCAGATGAAAACAAAATAAAAAACTAGAGTATTCTCTTTTCTCCATGAAAGTAGTGATATATTTTTGAATATTGAATTAGCTTTGTTATAAAATTCTATACACACATATTGAGACATACATACATAAAATGAATTTGAATTTGCAATACCATAAGTTGTTGACTTTAAAAACAGATTTTCAATAACTTTTTTAGGGTAATTGATGAACTGGATTTAGTTTGAGAATCTGTAGCTATTTATACCAGACTGAAAATTCATTTGAAATAAGGCAAAGAAATATTGTATTAAGATCAGTTATGTGTACTGTATGTGTGTCCTCCAAGTCAACCTATGTTGCCTCATCATGGTGGGTGTGTAGTTTCTGGGAGAATGAGCTATGAACACCAGGCCTTTACAACAGTACAATATAGTTACATCATCTGGGATGTGAAGGTCATCCTAGGTACCCTTTTAAAGCAGACAGGGATTTATATATGGAAGCAGTCACATAAGAAAAAGAGGAAATGGATGATTGCTTTAGCAACAACTGCAAATATATCATTTCATACTGCATGGGAAAAGGCAATGGTAAGGCATTCCTGTAACCATGAAAGCCACCTGGATAGACAGAATAAAGTGATTGATGATATAATGCCAGGTGATGGGCCTCATGGACCAAGTGCCACTTAAATAAATGATAGCAAATATGATATTAAGAATAGCTGAGGGTTTTTAAGTACTACTAATGGTTTGATGACATGGCTAGATGGAAACCACGTCTAGTTCTGGGCATCTAGTTGCGGCAAAGTTGCAATGTAGCAAAATAAAACCTGAAGCTGAAAACAGAATTACAGGGGGAACCTAGAAGATAATGTGAGAAGTGTTAGAATAAAGTATCCATTTTTGTGACTCAAACCTCATGTTGAAAGGAATGTCTTTAAGGTAGGGAGGTACCAGGTACCGATTGAACTGTTGAACTATCCTGGAATGTCTCTGAAGTACCAGGTACCGATTGAACTGTTGAACTATCATGTACTTCACGCATGATATGTTGATGTATGCCCTCGTGTTGGGGAAGTGCTTGCTGCGTGCTATGCACCATATAAGGTAATGAATTGTAACCTGTATTCTGAAAGGTAGATTGTAAACCAAGCCATTTGCATAATGGGGCGGTAGTTTAGGGTATAAGAATAGAGTAAATGCTATGCTCTGGGTTCCTCCCAGCTGCCAAGGGTGGAACCCACCTCTGCAGATGTGTACTCAATAAAGCCTTTTTCCTTGGATCAACTTCGAGTCGTGGTGGTCTTTAGAGCCGCCACCTCACAGTTTGGGGGCTCGTCCGGGATCCTCGACGGTGGTCGACTGGAAAGCGGGGACCAGGTAAGAGAGTGGCCACGACCTCCCATTGAGAGGTACCTCTCCCTGAATTCGGTCAGACCCCTGAGGTGACTGGGAATCCAGACGGTCGTTGGAAAAAGTACTAAGACGAAATGCCGGCTGAGAGTTTGTGAGATCGATCTGAGTTGGGGACGCCCACACATCCTTTGACTGGAGATTCCAGGAGTGATCAGATCAGGTAAACTTTGTTCCTTTCATTTGTAGTCAAAAAAAAAGAGAGGTCCTTAAACTCCCTGGGGGAATCCAGCGTCTGCTGGAGGACTGGGACTGGTGAGTCAAGGCTCTGGGAGTCTGGAAGAGTAGAGATGGAAAGGGACAGAGCAAAGGTCTTGGAGACCAGGAAGAAGCCTGTCTGGGACAGGGAAAATCTGACAATGGCAGACAATCGATTCCGGTAGATTCGCCTTTGGGACAACTACTCCAACAGTGGTTCTCCCTGAATCTAAAGGAATTCACTAGACATCTCGAAAAGAAACATATGGTTTATCTTTGTCGAGACCGATGGCCAAAATATCCTCTGATTGATCCTAAATTTCCGTATCACTGGAGTCCTGAGGGGGAAACCAGTACCTATTGGATGACCCAATTGCGAAACTATATTCTCCAACACAAAATGACCACTCAAATTGCATACATAGATGTATGGTTTCATGTGAAATTTGAAGGTCCCGTCCCTCCAATCGAGGGTCAATACATGTCTCAACAGAAGGGCAACGAAAGCGAGACGGATGATTGGCTTCAGGGTCCGCCGCCTTCAAACCCAAATTTGAACAATGCACCCGCCAATGTTCCTATGGCACCACCGCCATTGCCGGTGGCACAACCCCCTCCTCAGCCGCCTCCGTATCCGCGACTGAGAAAAGAAGTGGAACAATTGAAGAGAGATGTTCAGAATTTTCCATTCAGAGACAAACCAGAAGTAGATGCCTTCCCCTTAAGGGAAGTGCCCAACGGAGTTAACGCCCAGGGTAACCCCGTCACGGTTTTTGTGGTTGCTCCCATAAAACCGACTAAATTGCGAGACCTGAAAAAGACTCTTCCAAAGCTGCATGAGAACGCTCATGAGGTGGCGGAACAGTTGGAATTGTTTCTGGGGCCGAATGATTACACTTACCAGGATTTGATGTACATCCTGGGGCATCTGTTCACTCCTGAGGAGCGTAATCTTATTCGGACCTCGGCATGGAGAGCCTGGGACACCAGACACAATGGGCAACAAGGGGCGGTGGCAGGAGATCAAAAATTCCCCATAGCAGTTCCAAATTGGGATCCAAACACCGTGGCTGGCAGAGCAAGTATGAGGGCAATGATCATGGAGGGAATTAAATTGGCGGTTCCACAGGGGAAAAACCTAAGAAAGGCCTTTGAGGTAACTGGGGACTATTGTAATAGACTCCGGGAAAGCCTGGTTAAATACTCAGGCGTGGACCCGGCAGCAGCGGCATTTGAGGCCATCTTCAAGGTGCAATTTGTGACCGGAGCTTGGCCGGATATCCAAAAGAAGATACAAAAGATGGATAACTGGGGGGCCGTGGGAATGGTTGATCTCCTGAAGGCAGCCCAACAAGTTTTTGTGAACAGAGACACCGTAAAAACCAGGCAGAAGTCACAAATGATGGTTGCAGCTGTACAGGCTGCAACAAAGAATGAAGTAAAAAAGAGTGGGAATTTTGGGAAGGGTCCAATTGGAGAAAGAAGAGAGAATTTTGGGGGATACAATCAGGGAGGTTTTCGAGGTCGAGGAAGAGGCTTTAGAGGAAGAGGCATGGGAATGAGACAGCCCGGAATGGATAGGAGCTGCTTCAGGTGTGGGAAGGAAGGCCACTTTGCGCGTGAGTGTCCGACCAACAGGGAAGAGCGGAGTTATGCGTTGTATGACGATTAGGGCTGTTCCGGCTCCTTTAAGAGGACCCGCGGGGAGCCATTGGTAAACATTTTAGTGGGTCCTGACCATCAGGAGCGGCTGTTCCTGATAGACACTGGCGCAAGCCAGACTTCTGTGTGTGACCCGGTAGAGGGCGCACATAGATCAAGGAAGGTGATAAAAGTAGTTGGGGTGAGTGGAAAATCACAGGAGGTAAGTGTGTTTGAACAAATTAGACGAGATGAATGAGGTAGTGACTGAAGCTGAAGTGTTGTACATTCCTGATTCTGGAGTGAATTTGCTGGGGAGAGATTTGTTGCCTGCGTTCGGTATCCAGTTGTGGGATACAGGGAAGGAAATAAGGATGTGTAAAATGACTGTGGAAGATGAGAGGGCAATTCCGGATGAGGTCTGGGCAGGAGGAGAGAAGGCAGGGCGAATGAACATTCAGCCGATTAAGATTCAAGTGCAGCCTGGGGTGACGAAGTTGTGGACATCACAATACTTGATGAGTAGAAAGGGAAGAGAGGGGTTGAAGCCTGTGGTCGATAGATTGTTGAAATGGCATGTTGGAACCTACTATGTCACCCTTCAATTCCCCAATATTGGCGGTATTGAAGAAGGATGGGAAGTATAGATTAGTTCACGATTTGAGGAGGATAAACGAGATAGTGGTTCCCAGATTCCCTGTTGTGCCTGATCCGTACACCATTTTAGGGAGAATCCCTCCCAAAGATAAGTGGTTTACGGTGGTGGATCTGAAGGATGCTTTTTGGGCTTGTCCACTTGAGGAAGGGAGCAGAAATCTGTTCGCTTTTGAATGGGCTGATCCAAAGACTGGAAGGAAACAGCAATTGAGGTGGACAGTGTTGCCGCAGGGCTACACTGAAAGCCCATTGTTGTTTGGACAGGCTCTGGAGGAGAAATTAGTGTCGTTTGAGCGGCCAGGGAATGTGACATTGATTCAGTATGTGGATGATTTGTTGCTGACTGGGGAAAAAGAGAAAGAGGTCAGAGTAGCATCTGTGGCTTTGCTAAATTGGCTGAAGGAGCAAGGATTGACAGTTTCAAGGGAAAAGATCCAGTTTGTGGAAAGGAAGGTGAAATATTTGGGGCATTATATTCAGCAGGGGGTGAGGTCCTTGGATCCTGAGAGGGTGAAAGGGATCATGAGCCTGGCTCCTCCCAGAAATAAGACAGAAGTCAGGAAAGCTTTAGGGCTGCTGGGATATTGTAGGATCTGGGTGGATCAGTACACGGTTCTGGCTCAGTTCCTGCATAAGAAGTTGGTGGGGAAAGGAGAGAGTATTGAATGGGAAGAAGGGGACAACCAAAGATGGGAAAGCCTGAAGGAGAGTCTGTCCACTGCTCCAGTGCTGGCACTGCCTAACTTGAAGCTACCGTTTCATCTTTATGTCTCGGTGGCTCAGGGGACAGCAGTTGGGGTGTTGGCTCAGAAAAGGGGTGGATGCTTCCAACCTGTTGCCTTCCTGAGTAGAACATTGGAACCTGTAGTGAGAGGATGGCCGGTGTGTGTGCAGGCTGTCGCTGCAGCAGCTGTGCTAGTGGTGGAAAGCAAAAAGTTGACCTTCGGGGGAGCCTTAGTGGTACATTCTCCCCACCAGGTCACCTCTGTGCTAAGTCAGTTGGCAACAACCTGGATGACAGAAGGGTGAATTCTCAAATATGAAACCATTCTGAGAACAAGTCCTGATGTGGTGATAGGGACTGACAGGAACTTGAATCCAGCTGAATTTTTAGAAGGGAGAAGGCAGGAGTGGGAAGCTGAGGATCATGATTGTTTGTTGCAAGTAGATTTGATGACAAAGGTGAGGGAGGATCTGGAAGAGACTCCTTTGAAAGATGGGGAAAGGTGGTTTGTGGATGGATCAAGCAGGGTTGAGGAAGGAAAAAGGAAGTCGGGATTTGCAGTCGTGACAGGAGAAGGGGAGGTCATAGAAAAGGGCTCCCTTCCTTCCTCATGGTCTGCACAAAAGTGTGAGTTGTTTGCTCTGAAGAGGGCCCTGGAGTTGGCTGAAGGGATTGATGTGACAATCTGGACTGATTCCAAATATGCCTGGGGTGTGGTCCATACCTTTGGTAAAATCTGGCAGGAGAGGGGTTTTATCAAGGCTGATGGGAAACAAGTCGAACAATTACAGATTGTGGAACAGGCCTTGGAAGCCCTGCAACTGCCAAATCAAGTGGCAATAGTGCATGTGAATGCTCATCAGAAAGGGAACACCCCAGAGGTAGTTGGGAACAGGTGGGCGAAGGAAGCTGCAGGGGAGGTGGAGCTGGTAATGGCATCAATTCCCCTGCTAGAAATGGAAACCGGAGGGAAGAGAGAAAGATGATTTGGAAAAAGAAGGGTGTACGCTGACGGAGAATGGGTGGAGAACCTCAGAGGGGGTGAGAGTGGTTCCTGTGAATGTAATGAGAGGAATTCTGGAGAAGGTACATGAGGGAGGACATTGGGGAACAGAGGCACTGGTGACAGCTGTGAAGCCACATTTTTGGAGTCCTAAGATGTGGACACTAGCCCAGAGCATCTGCTGGAAATGCTTGATATATTTGAAAGTAAAAAAGAAAGCAGCAAGGAAGAAAGAAATGGGAGGGCGACCCCTAGTGAGCTGGCCTTTCCAGAGAGCACAGATTGATTTCACCGAATTACCAGAAAAGGGGGGTTGGAAATACTTGCTTGTGATTAAAGATCAACTGACAGGGTGGGTGGAGGCCTATCCGACCAGGAGAGCCACTGCCCCCACAGTAACCAAGATCCTGTTAGAACAAATCATTCCTCGTTATGGGATGATGGAAGCTATTGATTCTGACGGGGACACATTTTACACAAAAAGTGTTGCAATCTGTGATGGGAGTTGTTGGGGTGAAATGGGATTTGCACACCCCTTGGCACCCAGAATCCAGTGGGAAAGTGGAAAGGACGAACGGGGAATTGAAGAAACATTTGACCAAATTACAATTGGAAAATGGGTTACCATGGACAAAGAACTTATCTTTGGCACTGCTCGGAATCAGAACATGTCCAAGGAAAGACACTGGGGTCTCTCCATTCGAGATGCTAATGGGGCGACCCTACTTGGCAAAAATAGGGAATCCAATTCCTGAATTTAAAGATTTGTTTTTGAGAAAATATTTGCAGGCACTGTCCAGGTCTTTGCTTTCTCTCCATAAACAGGGACTATTGGTGCAATGACCACCTCTTGCTGGGAGCCAACATCCCTTTGAGACTGAAGATTGGGTTCTGATAAAGACTTGGAAAAGTGAGAAGCTGCAACCTAGCTGGGAAGGCCCGTACCAGGTGCTGCTGATAACTGAATCTGCAGTTCGCACTCGGGAAGGAGGCTGGACGCATTACAGCAGAGTCAAAAGGGCACCGGAACCTGAAAGACCTTGGAGGGCAGTTCCAGTGGGCGGTCAGCCGCTGAAGCTCACCTTGAAAAGATGAAGAAGTCTGAACCCTGGACTGAGCTAATTGTTTTTATTCTAGGACTAGGACTGGGAACTTCCTGGGGAAGTGAGAATTCACATCAACCCCAGAATGTTATCTGGGTTGTACTTGATTCCCATTCAGATATAGTCAGTTGGACTAGCGAAAAGAGGCCTCCCAATACTTGGTTTCCAGAACTGCAATTTGACCTGGGAAGGGTCCTCTTGTCCACCAACAATGACGAGTTCATAAAGAAACACCATTTTTACATCTGCCCTGGACATAAAACTGAAAGAAGCTACAAAAAGACTTGTGGAGGGGACGATCAGTTTTATTGTGCAGCCTGGAGTTGTGTGTCTACGGGACACATCTGGTGGGACCCTCCGTTAAAAGGGGATCTGATTCAGGTGACTAGAGTGACTCAGAGCCTTCCATGTAAAAGGAAAAGAAGGGACGGTAGGATCGAGGGAGAGTGTAATCCAGTAAGAGTCATTTTCACTGAGGTTGGGAAAAATTATGACAGGTGGAGACAAGGGGTTACTTGGGGAGTGTGACTATATGATAAAGTAAGACTAGGGTATCAGGATGAGGGAAATTTATTTACCATAAAAATGATACAATCAACCTTGGAAACCCCTGCAGCAATAGGACCAAATCCTGCGTTAAGGGAAAACTCCCCCGGAGAGATAGAGGGAACAACACGACCCACTGATAGAACCTCAGCCATCCCAGAGGAACCCAGGAGATTCACAAACCCGCTCTGGGTTTTAATGACAATGTCTCAGAGTCAGATCAGGGTTGCAGGTGGAAGAAAGGTAGTCAAACACTCCAATCCATAACGGGCCAAGGTGTGTGTATAGGAAAAGTCCCCAAGAAGTATCAACAATACTGTAATAGTACTAACTCGACCATCCAGGAAAAACTATTATATTCCTCCGATGATGGGATGGTGGGCGTGCAATACGGAACTCACTGCCTATGCATATGGAAAAATAATAAACCAAGTGGGGTTTTGTATTTTGGTCCAAATATTACCTAGAATTTACTTTCATCCTGAGAGTGAGATGTATCAACTGTATGAACAAGGGGGACGTTTAAGAGTTAAGAGGGAACCAATCTCCACTCTTACCATAGCTTTGCTGGTTGGGTTGGGAGCAACAGGGGCTGGGACTGGAATAGCCTCTATAACAACTCAATATAGCCAGTATAACTATTTAAGACAAGCTATCGATGAAGACTTAGAACGAATAGAAACATCCATCTCACATTTACAAAAATCCCTAACCTCTTTATCGGAAGTAGTTCTACAGAATAGAAGGGGACTGGATCTGTTGTTCCTTCAAGGAGGAGGGTTATGTGTGGCGTTAAGAGAAGAATGTTGTTTTTATGTAGATCATTCTGGGATAGTACAGGACTCCATGAAAAAACTGAGGGAAGGACTGAACCAAAGAAAAAAGAGAAAGGGATGGCCATCAAGGGTGGTTTGAATCTCTCTTCAATACATCCCCCTGGATGACCACCCTAATCTCCACTTTAATAGGACCTTTAATTATTATTAATCCTCACCTTTGGTCCATGTATCTTAAATAAATTAATTAATTTTATGAAAGATCAAATTGACACAGTACAAATGATGGTGTTGAGACAACAATATGACCCATTGGGGCACCTGAAGGAACCTCCCGGAGAACAACTATGGGAAACAGCAGACTGGTTATTAACTGAGTTTGAGTCAAGGATGGAGCAAGAAAAGGGGATTGTGAGAAGTGTTAGAATAAAGTATCTATTTTTGTGACAAACCTCATGTTGAAAGGAATGTCTTTAAGGTAGGGAGGTACCAGGTACCGATTGAACTGTTGAACTATCCTGGAATGTCTCTGAAGTACCAGGTACCGATTGAACTGTTGAACTATCATGTACTTCACGCATGATGTTGATGTATGCCCTCGTGTTGGGGAAGTGCTTGCTGCGTGCTATGCACCATATAAGGTAATGAATTGTAACCTGTATTCTGAAAGGTAGATTGTAAGCCAAGCCATTTGCATAATGGGGCGGTAGTTTAGGGTATAAGAATAGAGTAAATGCTATGCTCTGGGTTCCTCCCAGCTGCCAAGGGTGGAACCCACCTCTGCAGATGTGTACTCAATAAAGCCTTTTTCCTTGGATCAACTTCGAGTCGTGGTGGCCTTTAGAGCCGCCACCTCACAATAAGAAACATGGGTATGGAACATCTCTACACAGTGAAGTCATACAATGAATCATCTACACAGTGATATCTCATGTACTAATGAATTGAAATATCTGGAATTGAGTAGTTTTGTGTTTGTTTTTACTAAGGAAATTTAAAAAAACAAAAAAATGGCATTTCTTTCATAGGATTCTAGCAAAGATGGGGTTGAGTCTAGTCAGTGACAAAATGTCTTACGCTTCTGGGACAGCCTTACTTCAATAATTGATACAGTATCAAGGTTAACAAATTTTATGATCAAGTTCAATCTGAAATGAACAGAATGTGGAAACAAAATATGCTGCTTGTGGTTGAATGGAATGTCATAGTTGGAAAAGGAGGAAAACAATGTTCCCCTAGGAAACGAAAATGAAGCAGAAGAATTTCATTTTTGACAATCCAATAATTTTTTTATTGTTAACACATTCTTCAAACAACCAAAACTGCTACACATTTGGACATTCCAGTCACAGCACACAAAAATTAAACACTACATTATTGTCGATTATTGGGAAAGTTGTATAATAGGAAAAAAAATGTTGCCAGGGGATGATTGTGAAGCAGATCCAACTGCTCATGTACAAATTCCAAGTCAACCTAAAGTGAAAGAAAGCCAAGGAGTTTCTACAATATGATCCTGAGCATAAACCAATCACCATTTTCAAGGATAACATCAAGAATTGCTTTCAAAACCTGAACATCATTTATAAGGAACCAGAGGAACTGTAGAATGAAATCAAATAAGTTGTTAATGGTCAATATGAAAAGAGATTGTAAAAGGTCAAGCAGCAGATGAAACAATAATACATATCAGAACAGATGATGGAAAATTGCCAAGAAGAGAGAAGCCAAAACTAAGAAAACCTGAGATCATGGAAAGAAACTTAATAAAAAAATTCAGAAAAAATACAAGCAGAATTATAATGACATCTGTAAAGATAATTGAGAATAGAACCAGATTATGGAAAAACAAAGTTTTCCAAAAGATTTCTGAACATAGAAGAATGTGGTATACTAAAATATCCCACTTGACAGATTAAAGTTCAAAGATCAGCAAGATGCAAGGACTATATATGAAATTTTATACAATTGGTATATTAGCATTCAAAATACTTTAGATTTTCCTATTTATAAGAAACTACTAGAAGATAAATTTAGATCACATGATCATTACCACAACAGAAAACTACAAGAATTTATGGATATCTTCAGAAGTATGGCAAGCAACAGAAGAATTAAGATTCTGACCAAACTATGCCTCTAACCTACTGGGAAGAGTATGCAATAAAACTTATTGTTCTTAGTTCTTTGATTGTATGTCTGATATACATGATTGTATCTGATATATAGTTTGGTATTTTTCAGACTGACGTTATTGACAAATAGATGATTAATTCATTTTCCTGTCAGAAATTAAAAACATTTTTCCATTTATTTACTAAATAAATTTATAAACTACCTGTTTTATGTATGTCTGGGTGATGTACAATTTAAGTTTTATACACATAAAAGTATAATACACATAAAATACACAAATTATGATGCAGAATTGTCTACATTTTTAATTTTTTGGTAGTCATTTTGGGTGGATACTTCAAAAACAGCTATAATTGGCATTAATAGATATGTCATTTTAATTATTTGCCTGATTTGTATGCTGTCACAATAAAAGGACAGCACTTTACATACATAATTATAAAACACGCATAATAAATGAATAATAAAAACAAAGGACACAGTAACACAAGTCACTGTTATGTCAGTTCTTTTCTGAAAGACTCCAGACCAACTCAATTTTTAGTAGTTTGTGGAAAGGCAATGCTCTCAAAAGTAATAGGCAATCAGTGCAAGGCTTTTTTTAAGACTAAAATTTTTCTTCGGTTCTCATTTAACAATAGACAAATATTTTTGTAAGAATATTGTTCAGAATCACACTTTTTAAAAATTCTCTTTGTGCCATTATCTCCAAAGAATTTTTATAGCATTCTGGCTACTTCATCAGTATACCAATTAATCCTGTATTGTGGGATGCCAAAGAGATTCATTTGTTTGCAAAATCTTGTAATTAGTGAACAGTATGCTATCTTTTCCATTACATTTATTTTATGTACTTCTGATGTGTCACATATAATATAGGGAAACAAACATCTATATAACTATTCATTAATAATTATAAATGTAGTTGATCTACACTGCTGTTTCTGAATAACTGGAATTTTTTTATTTCTTCCATTTCTTGTTTCTAACAAATAAAATACATGGTTAGCCTGTTTAAAATAACAATATAAACTTGAATTTCCATCGTCCATATTTTAGAATTTATTTTTTCAATGATTTTACACGTAGAACAATAGTTTTAAAGATCTGATCGAACTCCAAAACCAGGTCCCTTGGGTGGTTGTGTCAGAGAAGTCAGACCACCAGATGGCTCACAAGAGAAACGTCCATTTCTGAAAAGAAATAGAAATTCAATATTAGACATTGTTCAGTATATTTTTAGTCATTCTGAAACATCCACAAAAATCTGTTTCAACTTTTGATGATTTGTTTTAAGCATCTTTTAGTTCAATACAAGATAGAATGTGATGGAAAGAAATAGAAATGTGGGGCTGGGGTTTTTTAGCTGCCAAAAGTACACATTATTTCTGATTACAGATAATGCTCAACTTTATGACTAATGAAGCCTGCCCATTATGGCTGTAAGTCATGACAGTTGTAAAGTGGGTCACTGCATGACCAACCTAATTTTATAACTTTTTTTTTGAGTGATTGTTATGCAACCGCCACAGTCATTAAGGGAACCAACTGTTGACAATGGGCTAGTTTTACTGAAAACCAGAAATAAATATCACTTATAAATGCCAGTAAATGTGACTGCAAGCAGCTGAAAATGTAGTCATGTGAACCTGGAGAAGGGGGGGGGGGAGCTAGCCATTAGAATTGGGTTATAAGTACACTTGGCAATGTACATCGTAACTTCAAATGGTTGCTAAGCAACTTGTCATAAATTGAGAACTGCCTGCACACTGAAGTTCTGTATAAATCTGCTTGAGTATAATCCCACTGAAATCTGTAAGAATTACTTAAGTGTAACTGAACAAAATTAGAATCTGACTATCTAATAAGAATATTATTTTCTTTTTCCATCTTGAACACTTTCCCACATTTCCTATAGACATATCTTTGTTCTTAAAAGGAACAGTATTAACATCACGTAACAAAAGAAAATGGCTTCTCAACAACTAATAAAAACCCCTGAAATTTCAGAATTTAATGAAAATTAACCAAATGATCATCACAAATCAATGATACACAGTGCAATATACCTAACAAATACATTTAATAAACCTTTTCCTATACAACATCAAAATACATTGATAATTGTTGGTTGAAACTTTGCCTAGAAAGATCATATAACATCTAAAATTTGGGGATATAGGGCTACCAAATTAAACACTTGAAAGAATGTTACCATATTTAGAAATGATACAAATATTTCATATATAAGAAAGCAATCTATTTGCAATAAAATTTGGCAAATACTTGATATTACTTCTCAAAAATGTCTACAAACACCTTTCTCTGATTCTTATAATTTAGTAGCAGCTTCTTGTAGGCCACCACAGCATGGAACATAAAAAGCAAAATGTCTTTGTAATAAGATTTTATATTTAATCTCAAACTGAAATATCCTGAGAACTTTCTACAACAGGTCCCCTACCCCAGTGCTCCCAATGCCTAAAAGGTTGGGGGCCACAATCCTGCCACTCTACAGGATTGTTTTAGTAGGTGTTTTATTTTTTATTTTATTTTTTTGCTTTCTCATGGTATTTTATTATGTAAATAATATACCTTGGTCCAGGTTTTGGAACATTTCCAGCTTTCAGTTCATCAATTATGTTTTCAATGTCTTTTGTTGTCAGGTCTTCCTGTAAAATTAAATGAAAACAATATTCCACAAATTAAATATGACATTTTCTTCATCTATGAGTATGTTTATTGTATTTAATATGTTATAAAACTCTTTGATACAGAAGACTACAATTGTACTTCAGAAGTTATTAGACTATCTTATATTTATTTAAATGGCTGCCTATCTTTCAATGGTGACTTTGTGATATTCTGAATATAATCTAAAAACTATACATTAAGATTAAAGATAAACACATATTGTATTTTATAGTGTCTGTATCAAATGCATAGTTAATGATGAGTTATGTTAGCAATAGAATATTGGCAAAATTAGATATATTTCTTAATTTTCCAACTAAAGACAAAAAAGGAAAATACTAAAATCTCTCTATGTTTAGCATGTCAATTGAGTTGAATTCCACATACTTAGTAAAAAGCACCATACTGTCATTGAACGCTGCATGTGATTCAGCACAGGGATTTTCAAGCCTTTTCAAGTTATGGAAACAATTTATATATTTTTTAAAAAATTCTCGTACTCACAACAAGAGGTAGCACATTGACTATGTTTGAACTCCCCCCCCCCCAATCTCTCAAGGAACCACGTCAAGTTCTCATGAAACCCTAGTGAGAACAAGGGTACAATTTGAAAAACCTGATTTTGTGCACAAAAGCAATCTAGGTAGTATACAAGCAAACTTATCAACTGAATGAGTAAGAGTTTTACACTGATATGAAGGGATCACATTTCACGTTGCCAGGATAAAAGCCTTTATAAAGCATCATCTATCTTGTAATGAATTTATTCAGATAAATATGAATAAGGACACGTGCCAATTAGAAACAATTCAATTAAAAAGATAATGGTTTCATAATGAACAAAACCTCTTGACAAGAAAAATTATGGTTATCACTGACAGAGATAAATCTCCTGCAGGAGCCATATTCATATTTCCTTTCCATTGTGTTTTCAATCAGTATAGGCATTACCTATATATTCCTGTCCAGTGAGAAGGCAAATGGCACCAATGACCAATTTGCACTCTACCAAGAGTTTGGGTGTGAATTATGTTATACAGGTAGTCCTTGACTTAAAACCTTTTGTTTAGTGACCATTCGAAGTCACTACAACACAAAAAAGTGACAAGATTGTTTTTCACACTTGCAACCATTGCAGCATCCTCATGCTCATGTGATCGAATTTGGACACTTGGTAACTGGCTCATATTTATAACATCTGCAGTGTCCTGGGATCATGCGATCATCTTTTGTGTCTGTCTGAGAAGCAAAGTCAATGGGGAAGCCACCCTCACTTTACAAGTGTTACTAACTTCAAAACTGCAGTGATTCACTTAACACTGTGGCAAGAGAGTCATAAAATGGGACCAAACTCACTTAACTGTCTTGTTTAGCAATAAATATGTGGGGCTCAATTGTGGTCATAATCTTAACCAGACTGTTAAGTATGCTTTGCTCCTCATGGAGGCAATCTTTGCTGCTATTAGACAATGAAATTTGTTGGGTCAAGTCTTTAAGCTTCCTCTAGTAG